TTGTAATACTTCCTAGTTGTGCAGTTAGGGTAGTTAACCTAATTGAGCCCAAGTTTTCTCGTCTGTCAAATGGGTATAAGTGATCACACCAAGTCATAGGGGTGTGAAGAGGATTTGTATTGTCACCTGCTCTTCTTGTAAGGCACTTGCCATCTCCTACTATGTTGGTGTCTTATCTCCTTCCAGACGGGAAGCTGCCTCAGGGCAGGAAGGGAGTCACATCTTGCCAGTGTCTTTGACACAGGCGACCTGCTACCAAGGTTCCTTTAAGGGAAGGGATTCCGTACAACTTAACTGGTGACATCAGGGCAGGCCCATTGCTAGTCGAAGGTTCCAGTCCCACAGTGCCAGGCCTGAGTTGTGGAGTGTTGGGCACACGCAGTACGTGCTGGACAGGCCTCTGGCTCCTGCTTCTTCAGGGACGGATAAGAGGCTAGAACCTGGGTGCAGCCTGTTCTTCTGATTTACCAAGTTGGGCACTGCTGGCATTTCTCTCAAGTGGAGCGGAAATCCTGCTTGGAACATGACACCTAGTTTCTTTCCTGGGTCATCCACGGGTGAGACCTCCAGACTGGAGGAAAGGGTATCCGTGGAGTTGTGGGTTTGGGATAACTCTGAGAGCTACCTAGTCTTCTGACTTCTCTGTGTGTGGGACCCTTCAGAGGAAGCTGTCCTTTAGACACTCCTACCAATTGCTATGCTTGAAACCTGACTGTGGAAAGGCAATTCAAGTCTTACAAGGATAGTGCTACCATTTCACTTTCCCTTGAGTGATTTCTCAAAGTGTAGCACCCACGAGTCTCAGGATCCCAGTGTTTTAGCCTGGCACACAGGGTCTCCACGTCCTGGCCACAGAGTTCCTTTCCCCCCTCACATCCTACTGCGTCCCCCCACGTGCTCTGCCGCTGGCCTCACCGAGTTAGTCACTTTCCCCCAGAGTACCCTGAACTCATCCTTCTTAAGGCCCTAGCACATCGTGTTCCCTGGGCCTATTTCCTTCCGCTTGTATGTGGAATCCTCTTGGGTGTTCAGGCTCAGTTTAGAAGTCATCTGCAGGGCTCTTCCAGACCCTGGGAGCAATATGGCATGCATTTGTTGTGATTTGAACTCTTTTCTTTCTGTTTTGTGTATTCGAGCATGTCTCCTGTGAGGTTATGAGCTCTTTGAGAGCTCAAGGCACGTCTAAGTAAGTACCTACACCTGCCAGGTCCAGACACTATGCTCTCCTAGGATGGAAGGTGCTAGCAAGTGTCTGTTTTCGGCACCTCTGACATCCTGTTAGCTAACAGTTGCATCTGAAGGGTCTTCAGAAGCTCACACTAGGGTTTTCAATGATTTGTTTGATCTTGAGCTCAGCCATTTGAATTCTTTCTTTGAATTGGTCTGATATCATCTCCTTGCTAAATTTTCTCAAGTCTGTTTCCCATATACCCAGCAGATGTCCGCTTCGAGCCAGGACTCTGAGCTTATTTCTCTTAAGAACATAACAGGAAGGTGGAATTCAAGAAGTATCTATTTGCTTCTAATGTGAACATTTTTTTTTACGTTTGAACGTTCAGCCTTTACTTTTTTATCTCAAAGCCCCTCGAAATGTGAAAATAGCAGAAGAGTTTTTTAATGGGTATATCTCTGCCTCTAGCGGAATAGCTGTCCACAGTGTAGTTATAAGTGCAGAATAATAAAACCTGTGTCTTGGAGCCTGATTTAGGAGACCAAGGTTCAAGTCCTGGCTTTACCACTTCCTAGCCCTGAAACCTCGCCTAACCTCCCTGACCCTTAGTTTCCTTAATGGATAATTGGGAAACCTTTCTTATAGAGTTAATGGAAACGTGACATGAGGTTTTGCACATTAAATTGGGATTTCTACTGCTGTGTGGTTCATATATTGGGTTTGAAGGCCATTTTTAAACAGGAGTTCCAGAAATGTTTGCCTTTGAGGAAAATGCTGGGATGTTTTAAGTTTTCATGCACATGTTTTATTTTGTTTTCTTGAATGACAAAATTAGTGAATTTATAGTCAGGGTACTTATAGCATCTAACGGATTTAGGGAATATTCGTGGCTTGTAAGACTCAGGTATAGTCCCTATAATTAGTTTTGAGACATTTAGAAACCTTGGCAGTCAAGGGATGAACCTTAATTAATGCAGACTTCATGCTGGCTTTGTGCTGTGCATGCTGGGCATGGAATCCCAGGGCATGATTATGTATTCCCCTGATGGGTAGGTGGGATTAGCCCCATCTTGCAGACAGGAAAGCTGGAGCTCAGAGAGGGTAAATAACTTACATAAGTTCAATATCAAGCCATGAACTTCATCCTGTACCCATGATGGCCTCCAGGAATCCTTTCTGTTTACAGAAGTGTCAAGACCTTCCTTTACTTTGTTGATCCTTTATCCTCTGGTTCCAGGGGCCGGCCCTCTTTCCAGGCCAGATAAGGCAGTGGGACTCAGCAGTCTTAAAGCCTCAGAACTTGATTAATGAACCTAGATGAGTGTCTGGACTTCTCTTGCCAAGAATCTGCTCATTTCAGACTTCTTTGTACTCATTCATCAGCCTTTACTTCCTTTTTCTCCCTTTGGGGACATATTTGCCTTTGCCCATCTCTGCTTTTGAGGTCAGGAGTGTGTTTGAAGAAGACTTCGTATTTTCTTTTAAAAAATTACAGGTGGAAAATTCATTGAGTATTTCCAATCATGTGCTCCAACCATGTGGTGGTGGGAAGAGGAGGCACAGGGCTAGGAGTTCATGGTTTTGCCACTGACCAATGAGAGGATGTGGAGTCAACCCTTCCTTTTCCCGTTGGGGTCTCAGTGTCTTCATCTGTGAAAAATGACAGCGCTACGAGATGACTCCTAAGATTTAAAAATTTTGCATGTTTTATGGTGTCAAAACCATCAATGTTGCTGAGGTGCATAATTATGCAGCTGTTTCTCTGATACTTTTCAATCTTTAGATTTAATCTATTCAACAATGTATAATTTTTTGAAGGGAAGCTTTTATAGACACTTCTGAAATATAAGAGTGGTAGGGGGGATAAATGGATGTTAAAAAATAGAAAACAACCAATTAAATAGTATATAGCATTTAATTCTCCTTGGAAACTTACTGAGAAATTGAGGAGCACTTTAACAACTGGTAATTTAAATTGCATTTGAACTATGCTAATGGTTTGTTTGCATGGGAACTTCAATCATTTCACAGTGGTTCTTTAGCAAAGCTGCTTGTTCTCTTTATGGAAAAGAAGAAAAAATATTAAAAGAGAAGCTGACTATGGAAAAGGGAGACCACTCTCCTTTGTGCTGGGAGGGAAGCTGGCAAGTGAGAGGTTGCCCTAGGGCCAAGGTAGAGAGCCTTGCCCTTCACCAATATCCCTGGTGGCTGTTGGAGAAACTGTTCAGATCTGTATCTCTCTCTGTAAGGAGAAGCTCAGGTTCCCTGGGCCTTGAGGGAGGGGGCTGCCATTTGTTTTCTGTGTGATTGCACTGTCCACAGGTCCAATGCTGTGAATGCCTTATTCCTCAGCAAATTTGAAATGTGAAATTATGCTTTTCTCTCATTTCAGTGGAGTGACTTGAAAAATCATTTTTTAAAAGATTTCATTTATTTATTTTTAGAGAGGGGGGAAGGGAGGGAGAAAGAGAGGGAGAGAAATACCAACATGAGACAGGAACATTGATCTGTTGCTTCTCCCACAGGCCCCCAACCTGGGACCTAGCCTGCAACCCAGGCTTTTGCCCTGACCAGGAATTGAACCAGCGACCTTTTGCTTTGTGGGATGATGCTCAACTGACTGAGCCACACTGGCCAGGGCAGCTTTGAGAATTCTAATGTCCCTGAAAATCACTAGGTTCTCAGGGAACCATGAGTTCTCAGGGAACTCACTGCTTTGCTGTGTTCATCTTGATTATGCTCCATTTTTCTAATGTAATTTCCTTTTGCTGTCTGGCGGGATGCTGAGAACTTTGAAGCAAGTGTTCAGAAACCTGGGTGTGGAACTTGGTGTTTTGCTCCAAAGCCAGTTGTGTGACCAAAGAAAAGTCTCTCTGCCCAACGAGTCCCGTTATGCTCTGTCAAAGTGGCTACAACTGTGTCCAGAGGAGCAAGCACTTGACTGGAGCTCTGGATTGCCTGCCACTCGGGGTGGGCTGCTGGAGAGGCCACCTCCCTACTCTGGCCCCAGCTTCTCCTCCTGTCAATTGGAAGAGTCAAGGTGGGCTGTTTTTTAAGGTCCTTCCCAACTTTGATCTTATATGGATATTTGAAGACTGGAATGAGAAAATATCTGTGAAACAATTGTATGATTGATTTAATAATATTTAAAATGACAACAGTGAAAATAGGAGTAGTCATTTTTTCTCTTATGTGGATTTCTCCTGAATATAAAACAAGACACATTCAAAACAGCCAGCTGCTTTGGCATCTGTGTATGTTGGAATATATATTGCATCATCTTTAGTAAATTAGTAATAGCTCTTAATTAAATGAAACCTGTAATGAGGACTTACGGGGAAGTGTCAAGATTGTCTAGCTCTCTGCTCTCATTGGCTCTTACTTTTCAAGCAAGGGAATCAAGGTTCAGAGGGCCTGCTAGTTCCTACAGTTAGAAATTTGTCTCTGAACTCATATTCCTTGTACCTTTTTACTTGTTTTAGCTCAGATTTTGCTGTTAATTTTTTTTCTTGCCTAAAATGTATCTAACTGATCTACCTCTTTCATCTCCGATATTACCATGGAGCTGCCTCCCGGGAGAGCTGAGGATGAACATGGGTACTGGCATTCTCTTTCCCCACCATTCTGAGACAAATTAGTGCAAGAAATGTGCCAGGAGCTGACTGGGGGCTTAGGAGGAATAGAGGTGAGCCACAAGATTTGTGGGTTTCAAGCTTGGCATCATTCTCAGTATAGTCTATTCAGCGAGTTCATAAACCTGGGGAGTTCTAGAGCCGGCGAGACCCTGGAGATTCATGAACAACCTCCTTCTCCCATTTCCCACCCACAGGCTGGACCATTGAGGCTCAGAAACAGAACTGAGGACGGAGACCACTCACCTGATTCTCGGGTTAGGGCTGTTTTCGTTGTTCCACTGGGCACTCGTTGGAGGGGAAGATACTGTTTCCTCAATTGGTGAGTCCTATGTAGAAAAGAAAGCATCTTTTTATAGTCAACATTCATGTTTTAATGAGTTTTAAAAACGAGTGGTTTTCAATGAAGTAAAGCATGGCACTAATAACAAGCTTGGACTGAGAAGTAGAGACGGACCAAAATGTTCTTTCTTTTTTTCTTAAGTTAATTTCATTGGCAGTGGACAAAATATAATAATGCTAATAAAATGTGTGGCAAAGAAAAGGCAGGACTCAGCTCTTGGAAGTTGGCATGAAGAGAGATTAGAAGAAAATTTGGAGTAATGATGATTTTCGGTTGCCAGTAATGGTGTTCCTTCCATCTTTCTCCTTTGGTGTGGAGGGAAGTGTTCTTGAAGCTGAAGACCAAAATGAAAATGTCAATGAGCAGTCTTATGGACATTTGTGAGGAAGGAAAGTAATATTATTGAGTAGCTCTTGTTTACCCCTGTATGAGATGCTTCTCTTATGTCATTTTATTTTCACAACAATTGAGGTAGGGGAGACTAACTTTGCTTAGGCAAAGGGTTGAACATGTGTCTTTTTTTAAAAAAAGATTTTATTTATTTATTTTTTTCGAGAGGGAAGGGAGGGAGAAAGAGAGAGAGAGAAACATCAATGTGCGGTTGCTGGGGGCCTGGGGGCCGTGGCCTGCAACCCAGGCATGTGCCCTGACTGGGAATCGAACCTGCGATGCTTTGGTTCGCAGCCCGCGCTCAATCCACTGAGCTATGCTAGCCAGGGCTGAACCCGTGTCTTAAAGGGCCCACTAGAGCTTCAGTAGGATCTGAATTTGAACCCTGTTGCACATTCAGAAAGGGGAATGGTGACCAGGTAAGGTGAGCTTCACCTTGTGTTTGGGAATTCCTCTGTGTGTAGAGGGTAGAACGGAACATCATGGTCTAGAAAAGAGGGATGGTAAAACGAATCAATGGTGTGGGCTACCCTGGGCTGGGAGGAGACTTGAGGGAAATGGCTGGAGGATTCTGGGAAAGGCTCCTATTTAGAATTCTGGATCTGTGGCCTCCATCCTGAGGGCCAAACTATCGGTGCCCCAAGCACTGGCTTTATACTGAATAACGGATGTCTTGGCTTGTTTATGATGCAGATTTCCAAAACAAAGCAGATGTTGTTGTGATTGATAAGACCTAACTTCATTTAAAAGTGTGGCTCAGTTTACAGTTACATTTTGTCACCCTTTCTTTTCTTCATCAATGCATCTTAAAAGAATATGGGCAGCTGGTTAAAATTTCAAATGTGGTCTTGAAAGCTTTGCCCTAGGCATACACTTTAAGCATCACATGTGCATCTTTGTTACCTCTTCTACCTCCTGAATTTTTTTCAGTGTTTGCAATTAAATTGTGATGAATATAAAGGTTTACATTTAGGTTTAAAAAAAGCCTAGTGTGCAGTGACAGAAAGGAAGAGAGTACCTACACAGGAGTGAGCTGGGGTAGACCGGGACTCTTTGTTTTCTGTAAACTAATCAGGAGCCAACAGTGGATTTTGTCTGCTGAAACACCTAGACAGCCTCAGGCACATTAAACAGAGATGTTACCAATGACAAAGTGGGTGGGGGACCCATTGGAAACCAGAGGGTCAGAGGTAATCAGGCCCATACTGGGCCCAGTATGCATCAGGCCCAGTATGAGCACGGCTCGGCTGTGTCTCTCCTGGGCTCCTTGCCCTCCCTCTTTTGTGTGGTGATTTCATTGTTGGGGTGTCTCACTTTGTGGTCATGAGATGGCTGTTTGCTGCCACCTGGGCTGCAGGCCACCTCCTTGCCATTTGGGGAAAGATCCCTGTTTGCCATATCCCCGTAGACTCGGGTAACTGGGTACTTTTGTACCAGTCACTGAGGGCACAAGGAAGACACTGTGCTAACTTGGGCATGTGAACTGGGGCTCTGATGGATTTTGAAACCTCCCTACCCCTGCTTCATGGCATCTACACAGTGGAGAAGTGGTGGTTCCTCAGAAGAATATCTGGGTACTGTGAGGACGGGGAGAGAGCTAAAGCTAAAAGGTTTGGTGACCATAAGCCTTTTAACCGTCCTGCCAGAGCTCCCCTACGTGTCAGATTTTAGTCCTCACCTTATCCTCTAAAAGGCACTTGAGCCAGCTGGACTCTCCACACAAAGATGCAAAGAGGACCGGAAATGACTTCCCACCAGGAGCTATTAGAGGAATGGGATCCTAGAGGAGACAGGAGGCAGGGCACATGTGATTATGGCCTTTGAGATGATAAAACCCAGTCAGAAGAGGGACAGCATCTGATGTTCATGAATGTTTCTCCTGAGTCTAGCAGACTCTCTGGCATGTGATAGGTGCACAGTGCATTTTCATGGAGAAAAAAAAAAATCCAGAGGTAGCACATGTCCCTTTCCCTGAGGGTGTTCACTGGGCACCGGGCAGTTCTCTGTTGTTGCATTTTAGGAATTCCAGCACAGATGAGTAAAGAAATGATTGGACAGAGAAAGAGACTTTTGGGACCAGTGTGGCTTATGAAGTTTGTGAGTTCATAAAAAGGCAGTGAGTATGGCGGGATGGGTGTCAGAAGGTTTTACAGTTATTACAATAGGCATGCATCCCTTAAAGAACCAGATCCCTCTGCCTTCACAGCTATTGCCCTGTCTATCTCTCATGTTGGTTTGGAGCCAACAGGTCGGTAGATGACAACCTGTTTTGCAAATTGTGAAGTGTGGCCCATACGTGGTAGGTTATTATAGTTGTTTCATTCTTTACTGTCAAGACTCAGCCTGAATATAGAGAAAACTATGATCTCATGAGCAGTCCTCAGCACCCTGCCTGATGCAGGGCTCAGGGTATGTCGTTTCTCCTAACTCCGCACCCCCGTCACCCCCAGGATTGGGTGGGTGCTGATTTGTTCTCAGTCTGGGAAAGGATCTAGAAGGAATCTTGCTTAATGATGGTGATTGAAATTGATGTGAAATAGAGTATTATTATTACTTTTCATATTTGTTTTTGCTCTGGACTAGTGATTCCCAACCTTTTTCATCTCATGGCACACATAAACTAACAACTAAAATTCTGTGGTACATCAAAAATGTATATTTTGCCCATCTGACAAAAAAATGTATGATTTTGATTCATTCACACAGGATGGTTACCTTTGTTTTGGCTGTTGCCATTTTTTTAAATTTGAAAATCTAAGGGAAAAGAGGCCAGTGCTCCTGACTAAATAATCAGCTATTGCATGTTTTATAAATTCTTGCAGCGCATCTGTGCGCTGCAGCCGCCAGTTGAAAATCACTGCCCTAGACAGGAGGAGGTGGAGAGAGGTAGATGGGAGACAGAGTGTCAGTGCTTGAGAAATCCCCTACAAGCTGCAGTCTGGCCCCTTGGCTCTTGCTTTGTTTGATTAGCTAATCACACCTTTTGCTCCAGGCATGGCTGGCCCAGCAGGAGTCAGGAAGGAAATTATTTCCCTCTGTTGATACTAGTGTACAATTGTTGACGGTAGCCAAGGGCTTTCAGTTTTAATATTTCCTCTTTGCTTCTCAGAAGAATCAGTTATTAGTCTGTGCCGGAAGCAAAGCATGGGTCACTTCCACTTGACTTTCACAGGTGAATGTCTTGGCTCCCTATGATTACTTGGTCAGGTGGTTTTGGGGCATGTGTGACCATCTGCTTAGTCAGCTTTTGCTGCCTCTATGTTATTGCTTCAAAAATTACAAAAGGACTTGCTGGGTCTGAGCAAGGACCCATCAGCCTCCTGAGGCTCTGTTGTTATTCTGCCACCTGGGCATGTCTTATATGAGGTGTTTGCTCTCCATGACAGTAAAAAAAAGAGCTATTTCCCTCTTTCCCTCTCTTGCATTCTGCCTCCTAATTCCACTTTCTTCTATTTCCTGACCTGAGCACAGTGGAGATACCTTGATCTTGGGGAGGGCCTGGGGAGGTCAGAGGAATTCCCAGGTTTTTCCTCATTGGATTGCTGTGCAGTAGCAGGGGTCTGAGGCTAAATGGGTGGGGAGCCTCTGAGTCCTTTGTAGATTGCTGCCAAGCATCTAATCCTGGTTCACAGCAATGAGCTTGATCTCTGCCCTGATCTCAGTTTTTTTTTCTGGAAATCAGTGAACTTCCAAATCTTTAGGACACCATGGTGAATTAGGCATAGTCCCTGACTTTGAGAAGCTTACAGTCTAGTTACAGAGAAAGACTTATACATGAAAATGAAATATACCTTAGAAAAGTATTGTTTACAATGCACCTACATTAATCCCCATGAATGTTTCCAGCCTCACATTAGGTGCTTGGGAAATCAAGGTAAGTAATTTATAGCCTCATATCTCATGGGCTTAGATGAAAGGTTGGCGAGTGGAAAGAATTGGGAACATTGGGAAAGGTTTCCAGGAGGAGATTTGATCTCACAACTTCTCAGTGAGCCTTGCAGTCTTGTGACAGAAGCCTACCGGGTTAGTAGGTTGGACCTCTGGCCAGAGTTTGGCTCACGAGGACTGGACAGTTTCTAAGGGTGGATTTAGCTGATAGCAGAATACAGCTGGGCAAGTAAGGAGTCTGTCATCTTGCATATTCATTCTGATCAGTGTAACTGTAGTGGGAAGTGTCATGTTGACTTTGAACTGCACTGGCATTTCCATGGTCATCTCTGTGTGGCCAGAGCACGCCTGAGTATATGTCACCAAACTAGAAGATGACTCTGCATTCTGGGGCACAGAGGTTCCCTTTGAGAGTTTCCGATAGTGAATCTTTCATAGTCTACTCCCCAGGCCTGGGGAGTGGAAAAGGGGTGGGGTTGGTGGGGCCATTAAAATGGTCTCAGACTTAGATGCTATCTTCATTATCTGTTGCTGCATAACAAATTACCTTAAATTTAGCACCTTAAGACAAAAAAACCATTTATTATCTCACAGTTTCTCTGAGTCAGGAATCAGGAGCAGCTTAGACGGGTGCCTGACAGTGTCTTTCGAGGTTGCAGTCTGCATGTCTGCTGGACCTGCCGTCTCCTTAGAACGGTCTG